GAGAAGAAAAACAGAGAGAAAGGGTCCCTGGAGACCCGCCACCCACTCCGTGGCTTCTCAGCGTTATTTGAGCATCGACCTGGAGAGGAGACCTTGCCATAAACTCTTGCTGACAGAGCCTTCCTCGGTTCTGTTGCATAATAAAGGTTATGAAGCAATAATGACTGCCAGGATCAGGGACTCACCCCACCAGAGCCTCTCTAATTTAAAGCAAGGCTACCAAGAAGCCCGCCCCAGAGAAAAGGAATTCACTGATACACTTGCTCATCCAAGGCGTTTCTGAACAAGATGTTCCAACCATTCCCTGGGCCAGCCCTCTCGCGACCCCACCCGCCACTGTGTGCCCAGGGACTGGTGATCACACCTCCCAATTCCCTTTCTCTCTCAGGACTCTTCAAAAATAAAAACAAAAAACAAAAGAAAAATAATTCCCGAAAAAGAGTCACAGACAAGAGCAGCCAGTACTCCCCGACCGCACCAGGCCCAAACACAGGATGTCACAGTCGTGTGTCTGTGAGTCAGCTCTGTATCAGCTCTGGTTAGGTTTGGAGTGACCCTGGTCTGGTCAGAGAAGCGGAAAACCAGAAGGCGGGGCGGGGTGAGAGCTTGCTCTTGCCATGACCACACTGTGGACTTCTCCTGCACACCCACCCTCCCCACTGCCCCATGCCTGGAGGCCAGGAAACCAGATCGGCTGTTAGCGTGAGAATCTGCAACCCTCTGGCTTCTGGGCAGTTCTGCCAATGGGAGACAGATACCATGTAATGAGGATGGAAAGGGCCGGGACTCGGGACTTCCTGACCCTGTATCTCTACACTGCCCACAGCTCCCTCTGGGGCACCCATCCCTGCCACTCAACCCCTTCTGGTCCTGTGACTGCCCACCTGGCCAAGTCTCATGAGCAGAACCCCAAGGCGGGGCACCAACCTCCATCCCTTGGCTAAGCCCCCTGGGATGCCCAGTGTGTGTGACGTCTGGTTGTTCCCAGGCCTTTAACCAAAGTAGCATCTACTCCAACATTATTTTTGTTTTGTTTTATTTTATTTTGAGTTAGGATCTCACTCTGTCGCCCAGGCTTCACTCATGTTCCAAGACAGTAAATGTGGCAGTAAATGTTGCCCAGGCTTGTCTCAAACCACTGGGCTCAGGCAATCCTCTCGCCTCTACCTCTCAAAGTACTGGGATTACAGGCATGAGCCACTGCACCCAGCCGAGAGGTGTGTACAGTTAACCCAGTTTTTATAGATGGAGAAAATGTGTATGAGGGTGATTATATTTTATCTCTGTAATAAGAATAATTCAGTTGTGTCATATGCTTTCTCGATGCCAGATAGAATAGGAAGAGCCCAATACATGTTAATTTTCTAAATCTTAACAATGCCCCCGGAGATGCGTACTGTTTGTTTTCGTTTTTGTTTTTGAGTAAGAGTCTCACTCTGCCGCCCAGGCTGGAGTGCAGTGGCACGCTCACCACAGCCTCAACCTCAGGTGATCCTTCTGCTTCTGCCTTCTAAGTAGCTGGAACTACAGGCATGCACCACCACGCCTGGCTTGGCGGCAACTGGCTTTCCCTCATGTTGGGTTGCTCCTCCAGCTGAGTTCCTGCCCCCATGGGATGTGGGCCTTGAAACTTCTTGTATTTTCCTCTGTTTCCCCAAACGCTGCCTTAGGGAACAGCTGGTTTATGGTGTATCGGTCTTTTAAGATGTGATAAAAATTAACGTGCAAGCTCAAACATGTATCCGGTGACAGCAAATAAACAGGGTCGTAGCTCCAGTGTGTTCAAATCTAGCATGCCTCACATATTCACACACAGACCAGCTTGTATTACAATTTAAAATTTTTTAGCCAGACACGGTGGCTCACACCTGTCATCCCAATACTTTGAGAGGTGAAGGCTAGAGGATTGCCTGATCCCGGGGGTTCAAGACCAGCCTGGACAACTCGGTGAGACCTCATCTCTACAATAAATAAAAAAATTAGCCAGGCATGATGGCATGTGCCTGTGGTTCCAGCTACTTGGAAAGATCACCTGAGCCCAGCAGGTTGAGGCTGCGGTGGCTGTGAGCATGCCACGGCATTCCACCCTGGGCAACAGAGTGATACTCCGACTCAAAAAATAAAATAAAATAACTTTTTAAGTTAGTGAGATTCAAAGGTAACCAGTCCTTGAAAACTGTTCATAAATACTCATCACTGTAAATCAAAACTGTTCTTAAGACTTGCAACAAAAGAGCACGTAGAAACAAAATGATCGGAGGGCTCACGGACAAGCCAGCCACTGGAGCTCCAGACATTTACATAGTCAAACTCTTCTCATACGTTAGCCTGTAAAATATACTTAGAAATGTTTTGAGTAGGTAATAGATTCAAGATGTTAAAGGTACACATGAGGAAAGAGCAGAGTCTCCCTCTAGCCCCTCAGTTCCTGTCCCCATGGAAAGGCAGCTCATTACTTTGTTTCTCTTTCCTTCCAGGGTTATTTCATGCAGACACAAGGAAGTAGATGTGTCTATGCACATTATTTTGTCCATATTTAAAACAAAGGACAGCATCAGAGGCACCTGCCCCGCATGTGTTTTTACACCTAAGCTTTTTGCTCTTCATGTGTCTTGAAGACAGTCCCTGGCAGGACAGCAGTGGCTTCCTCTTTCTTGCCTCTCCTGAATCCATTCTGTTGTGAGCGGATAACATGGGTTCATGCTAAGAACACATCACGCTATCATGAAATTGTATCTGGGGAAAAAAATGAACCTGCTACTAAATTTTTTTAAATCCCTCGCCTGTATTTTAACTTCCCACAATGCAAAGAAAAATTCCTGACCCAGAGATCTGGAGCACCCAAGGCAGCCAGGGGCAGAAGTGTCCTGACACCCCCTATGCCAGCACCCATCCCAGGGCCCACAACAGTCTCCCATCCCCCACCAGGCTCCGGCGCCATAGGGACCGCCCCCACATTGAGTGAACCCTTGGGAACCTCCTACCCAAGAACCTTGTGTTGTCTGTCAGCTTCTGGCAGTAGTAGTAACCCTGAGCCCTGCTAAAATGTCAGTGGAATGGAACATAGCAGGATGAGAAAGGTTTTGTGTCCAGAAAGGGAGCCCAGCCTTTCCATCTAGTTAACAGTGCACACCTTTAGGATCCACACAGCACAGGCCATGAGGCCATCAGAGCTGAGAAGAGGGCTTGGAAAAATGTCCTTTAGAACTACAACAGGGCCAGGCTTGGTGGCTCAGCCTGTAATCCCAGCACTTAGAGAGGCCAAGGCAAGTGGATTGCCTGAGCCCGCAGGTTCAAGACCCCCCCGGAGAACTTGGCGAGACCTCATCTCTACAATAAATCAGTAAAAAAAAAAAAAAAAAGTTAGCCGGGTGTGGTAGTGCACGCCTGCAGTTTCAGCTACTTGGAAGGCTGAGATGGAAGGATTGCCAGAGCCCAGCAGGTCGAGGCTGCGGTGGCCGGGAGAGGCCACTGCACTCCAGTCTGGGCGACAGAGTGAGACTCCAACTCCAAAAAAAAAAGAACTACAGTAGGACGAGAACTAGCCCGGCATGGTGGCTCATGTCTGTCATCCCAACACTTTGGGAAGTGGAGGCAAAAGGATTGCCTGAGCCCAGGGATTCAAGACTAGCCTGGGCAACTAGGTGAGACCTCGTCCCTACAATAATTCAAAAAATTAGCCAGGTGTGGTGGCACACACTTGTAGTTCCAACTTCTTGGAAGACTGAGGCGGAAGGGTCACCTGAGCCCAGCAGGTTGAGGCTGTGGTGGCCGGGAGCACACCACTGCCCTCCAGCCTGGGTGACAGAGTGAGACTCAGACTCAAAAAAAAAAAAATGAACAAGAGCTGGCACTGGGATGGCTTTTTATGCCATTGGAGGGGAGGAGAGGACAGACGACAAGGAGACCGCCCCAGCAGGGAGGGCAATGCTCCCAGCACTTGGTCCATCTAAAGGCATAGGATGTTCTGAAAAGCTCTCCCGTAGCATCTCGACATGGTAGAAACGAAAAGCAAGTCCCCTCACACTCTAGGAGCAAAGTGACTGCATGTTCTCCAAATAGTGAGCCTCATTTCTAAAGGAGGTGAACGAGTGTAAGGAACAGCACGCATCACAGTGAGGATGGCGTGGCTTCTGCTCTGAGTATTGCTGATCTCCCACGAATGGGCTGCCCTGGCCCAGCAGGGGTTGGCAGATGTAACTGGGCACCTCTGGGGTACTAGGCATCAGGGCCTTCAGTCACCTCCTGTTTCCAGGCAGGCTTTGGTTCCCGATACCCTGTCCTTGGAAGCTATCTGTTTCCACGAGGTGAAACCATGTTGTCTGTTGTCCTAAGATGTGGATACGAGCACTGGGTGGGGGAGGGGACAGACAGATGAAAGTGCCCGTGTCTATGCCTCATGGGAACTGCAGCCTGCGCTCCGTTCCCAGCATCTCAGTGAGAACCACGGCTGCCTCACTTGCTGCTGGTATGTGGCTCCCAGAACCAGGGGGAAGCTCCTCTGGAGAGGGCACAGCAGAAGCTCAGGCTGCCCACCCCAGAGCCTGCTGTGGTGGGAGGAGCACAAGTTGCTGTTTGGTGTTCCTGTGAGAGCCTCCACACCCACCCCTCTCCACCCGACTTTATAATGTCTTAAAATTTGTGTCTGAAGGCTTGTGCTTCTCGGTAGCCTTCTTCAACATTTTTTGGTAGAGATGGAATCTTGCTATGTTGCCCAAGCTGGTGTCGAACTCCTGGCCTCAAGCCATCCTCCCGCCTTGGCCTCTCAAAGCACTGGGATTACAGGCATGAGCCACCACACCTGGCCTAAATGTAAATCTTAAGCTAGTCAGGGAAAAAAGGGACAGGCTATGAATTTCCAGGCAAGGTTACCTTGGTCAGGTGTGAGGCTGTCATCATAGCTAGCGTTGTCCAGACCTGAGTCTGAAGGGGTCTGAGCCAACATCGCTGGCTGGAAGCCTCAGAGTAGTCCTCTCACAGCGTATGCTGCTTTGTTCCAGATCATCGACAAGAGCAAGAGGGACCCCTCGGAAGAGATCGAGATCCTTCTCCGGTACGGCCAGCACCCCAACATCATCACTCTCAAAGACGTAAGTGTCTCCCGCTGCAGCGTCACCTTTGCCTTCCGCTTCTCAGCTGACACAGAAAAGCCACCGTGTATTTAGTGGCACTTCTACAACTACCTGCAGGCCAAGATGATGTCCTGAGCCGGTGCCCACGCATCTCTCAGTCTCCCGGGCCAACTTGCTGGGTCGTCCATTCAAATCCTCCTCTTAAGAGCACCCCCCCATCACGCCATGCACAAGTGTAACAGAGGAAAGGGTGACTCCTGTGAATTGTCACCCAAGGATGTCGATTCTCATTGTCACTCCTCGTTAGAATAGAAATGGAGGGGAAGGGATGGATGAGGTGGGTGGGGCAGAGCTGACACTCAGCTTGGAACCCTTTTGCAGCCCTTCTTGGAACTTCTCTCCTTCTCTGTTGGGAGAGGAGTGGCCTCTTTCCCTGGGGTGGCGGGAGCGGGAATCAGCCACACTGAGCCCACCAGGAAGCCCCACAGCACCCCATAAAGGCCTGGGGTGCCGAGTTCGAGATTGTGAGGAGGAGAAAGGAGACAGGTACATTCTTCTCCCCACCTCACCCTCAAACTCCTGAATGATTTCAGCATCTGAGCCCAGAGCCCCAAGGGTCAGCTCCCTCTGTGTCCCTCATGCCTAGTGATGGGTGTGCACATGGTCTTGATACATGAGCTTGGTACAGAAACAGCCATGTTGATTTTTTGAGTCCATTAGATTAAAGCTAAGTGGACAAAGCTGTCTTTTTCTTTTCTTGAGTTGGAATTTCACTCTGTCACCTAGACTGGAGTGCAGTGGCACGTTCCTGGCCACCGCAGCCTCGACCTGCTGGGCTCCAGCGATCCTTCTGCCTCAGCCTTCCAAGTAGCTGGAACTACGGACGCACGCTACTACTCCTGGCTAATTTTTTGATTTATTGTAGAGATGAGTTCTTGCTAAGTTGCCCAGGCGGGTCTTGAACCCGCGGGCTCAGGTCCACTCACCTCAGCCTCCCAAAGCATGGGATTACAGGCTGAGCCACCGAGCCCGACTAAAGCTGTCTTTTTCTACTGCTTCTCTGACATAACAGCACTGCTTTGCTTTGGTAAATACACCCTGGGCCCTACCTTCACTCTGAACTCCCAGCACCCGGCCACCCGGTACTATCTGTGGGGCAGTAGGACAGACGTTTCCCCGGAATCTGGCTAGAAATACTGAGGGTCAAGCTCCCCTCACAGACTGCGGGACCTGAGCGTGCATTTTAACAAGATCTCCCAAAGGTTCGGTGCACATTAACGTTTGAAGGACGCTGCCCCAGAAGCCTACTTTTGTGTGGTGTGAGCCAGTGTTCACATCTCTTGTTTGTTTTGGTTTCTTTTTGAGTCGGAGTCTCACTCTGTCACGCAGGCTGAAGTACAGTGGCACATTCATGGCCACCACAGCCTCAACCTGCTGGGCTCAGGAGATCCTTCCACCTCAGTCTTCCAAGTATCTAGGACTACAGACACGCACCACCATGCCCGGCCAATTTTTTTATTTATTGTAGAGAACAAGGTCTTACCAATTTGCCCAGGCTGGTCTCGAAATCCTGGGCTCAGGCAAACCTCTCACCTCGGTCTCCCAAAGTGCTGGGATTATAGGTGTGAGCTACCTCGCCTGGCTCACATCTCTTAACGTCTGAATCCCTCTGCCTCTGAGAGGCCGGGCACAGTCATGAGATGATTCAGGTCAGTTAAAAGCGTCTATGTGTGGTCTGAGCATGCTCATTCCCTAGTCAGCAGCAGATTGGTAAAGCTGTTTTTGTCTTAATAAGAACCACCGGGGTGGACACAGTGGCTCACACCTGTAATCCCAGCACCGTGGGAGGTGGGAGGCCAAGGCGGGAGGATTGCTTGTGTCCTGGAGTTCAAGACCAGCCTGGACAACCTCGTCTCTACAAAAAAATTTAAAAATTAGCCTGGCATGGTGGTATATGCCTATAGTCTCAGCTACTGTGGAGGCTGAGGCAGAAGGATGGCCTGAACCCAGGAGGTAAGGCTGCTGTGTGCCATGATGGTGCCTGTACTCCAGCCTGGGTGACAGAATGAAATCCAGACTCAGGTGGCTCAGCCTGTAATCCCAGTGCTTTGGGAGACCGAGGTGAGAGGATTGCCTGAGCCCCCAGGTTTGAGACCCACCCAGGCAACTTGGTGAGAACTCATCTCTACAATAAATCAAAAATTAGCCAGGCATGGTAGCACATACCTGTAGTTCCAGCTACTTGGAAGGCTGAGGCGGAAGCATCGCTGGAGCCCAGCAGGTCGAGGCTGCGGTGGCTGGGAGTGTGCCACTGCATGCCAGTCTGGGCGACGGAGTGAGACTCCAACTCAAAAAAAAAAAAAGGAATAGCCATTCCTGGTGTGATTGGAATGGCCCTCCGCTCACTTCCTACAGGAGTCTTATTTCACATCCAGGAGACCTGAGACCCCAGCCTCTCCCCTTGGACACCCCTCTTCACTCTCGGGGTCCCTGAGACCCCAGCCTCTCCCCTCAAATTCTCCCCTTCACTCCCAGGGTTTCTGAGACCCCCAGCCTCTCCCCCTCAGACTGCCCTCTTCATTCCTAAAGGCCCAAGACCTCAGCCTCTTCCCTCTGATTCCCCTTTTCACTCCCAGGGGCCCTGAGACCCCAGCCTCTCCCCTCTGACTCCCCACTTCTGCCCCCTCTGTAGCCATGGCCCCTTTGCCATCACCAGCCTGCCGGGGAGTCAGCCGGTGGCCGCAGGTACCATGCGCCGTCTCTGAGGCCCACGCCCTCTCCACCTGCAGGTCTATGATGACGGCAAGTTCGTGTACCTGGTAATGGAGCTGATGCGGGGCGGGGAGTTACTGGACCGCATCCTCCGGCAGAGATGTTTCTCGGAGCGCGAGGCCAGTGATGTGCTGTGCACCATTGCCAAGGCCATGGACTACCTGCACTCCCAGGGGGTGAGTGCTGGGCACTACGGGCTGAGGGGGGCATGGCTGGCAGGGGGAGCAGGAGGAGCTGATGGCCGAGAGCTGGGAACTCAGGTTGCCCAGAAGCCTCTCCAGAGAGCCCCTCTCTCACGTCTGTGCTTTGGCAGGCGTGCAGAAGAGGAGGCATGTTCTTCTCTCTTCAGATCCTAGCTCTTGGCAAGATCCTGTCTGTCACACTGGCCAAAGAGAAATAGACATGTTGATGAGCAGGCATATCTCCTGCACACACAGGAGCACTCAGCCGTGAGTCAGAGGGGTGGTCGGGACTTGAGCTGACACAGCATCCTAACAAAAGAACAACACGTTCTTAGGGAAGAGATAGGACAGAGGGAAAGGACTTGGAGCGTCCAGGGCAGGAAATTGCGGAAAAGTAAAATACACAGGAAGCGAATGGAGGATGAAGGCCACTGAACCAAGTTGTTAAGTGGGTCCCTCCAGTGCTGTCTCAGGCTGATCGAAGGACATTTAGACTTTTCATCACTTGCACTGTGTAAAGTTGAGTTCATGGAACGATGTGAAGGGACATCAGACAGAACTGACAATGAGGCTGAGGTTTACACAGCCTCACCTGCCCCGGGCTCCGTCCAGGCTCTTCTTCCGCTGACTCCTGACCTCTGCACACCCATCACACAGTTGAGGAGCCTGGAGCACGGAAGGCTGTGTGTCTCACCCGGGGTCGCACAGCAGCCCTTGGGAGCGGGGTTCAGCCAGGCTCTTGGGCTCCAGGCTGTGCTCTCAGCCCCAGACCCCGCTTCCCCAGGAGGCAGCCACACACAGCTCACTTCTGCCTGTCTCTTCCCGGCGTGTCCTGTGAAGCAGGCGGGACCACCGTGGCCAGCTGTGTGTGCATGGTCAGAAGTGTTAAAGCGCAGTCCTCTCTGCACATGAGAATAGTCTTCCAGGACCACACATTGGGCCCTTGTGTGATCACCACTGGTCTGGAGTCTTAAGCCTCTGAGTTTCCCCAAAACAGTCTGGTCTCGAGGATGCCTTGCACATACTGGGTTTTGCAGATTGGCTTCTCTTTAATTCCCTGGCCATCCGGGCCTCCGGGGCTCTGTGGGCCAGGCTTGCCTTTTACATCCTCCCATGGGGCTCTAGCAGGACAATTGAGGTGCTCAGGTCCCAGCCTGTGCTAAGGCATGCCACATGGCCTTACAATAGCCCTGTGTCCCCTCAGAAGACAGCGCTTTGTGCCATAGCTAGCGCTTTGCTGTGAGGTGTGCTGGCCCCACCGCCATGACAGCAGCACGGTCCCCATGGGAGGCCTTGGGGCCCCAGCACAGGTGCTTGCAGGGCACCCACATGGGCAAGTTGATTCCTGTCCGGCTCCCCCATGAGTCGGTGTCCTTGTGATCGCAGGGGCTTGGTCTGTGCCTCTCAATGGTGCAGTCCCAGCTAGCAGGGCTTGGCATGTGGTAAATATTTACTGAATGAATATCTTTTGGGCTGGGCATGGTGGCTCACGCCTGTAATCTCAGCAATTTGGGAGGCCAAGGCTGGAGGATCACTTGAGCCCAGGAATTGAGACCAGCCTGGACAACAGTGAAATCCTGTCTCAAAAAAAAAAATTAATTTAATTTAAATTTAAAATTTTAAAGTTTTTTATGCTGGGCATGGTAGCTCCCACCTGTAATCCCAGAACTTTGGGAGGCTGAGGAGAGAAGATCACTTGAGGTGAGGAGTTCAAGACCAGCCTGGGCAGCATAGTGAGACCTTGTCTCTACAGAAAATTAGCCAAGTAGGGTGGTGTGCCCCTGTAATCCCAGCTACTCAGAAGGCTGAGGTGGGAGGATAACCTGAGCCCAGGAGGTCAAGGCTACATTGCCCTGACCCCTCCTGCCTTCCAGGTTGTCCACCGAGACCTGAAGCCGAGCAACATCCTGTATATGGACGAGTCTGGAAACCCCGAGTCCATCCGGATCTGTGACTTTGGATTTGCCAAGCAGCTGCGCGCTGAGAATGGGTTGCTGATGACACCCTGCTACACAGCGAACTTCGTGGCCCCAGAGGTAAGCACTGTCAGCAGGGGACCAGCCTGTCCCTTGTCCCTAGGGAGGCCTCATCTTTCCCAGTTGCAGACCCCTTCAGCGGGCATGGTAGAGGCTGGCCAGACGCCCGCAGTCCTGTCGGGAAGCAGGAACGGGAACCTTCTATCTCTTGAATCAGCCACTGATGCTACTTAAACACGGTTATTTTTATCATTTTATTTACCATTTTAAAACACCTTTAAATGCTAACATCTTTATATAAAATTATCATCAGTTTTACATGAAATCGTGCTGTTGACAATTTGGATCAAATCTGCATATTTGGTCCAAGTCAGAATGAGAGAGAGCACCCTCAGGCTCATTGTACAGTCAGGATGTGGTGCAAGGGGCATCTGTGGTCAGAAACGGATCAGTCACAGCACAGCAGAGGCTGAGGCCTGGGGTTTAGACATCCTCGACAGAAGCAAGTGGGCAGCTCTCAGATCTAAGAACACTTGGGTTCCACAGGGATCTGCTGCTGAAAGCTCACATGAACCCAGCGGGCTCTGTGCACCCCCGCCCTGCTCTGAGAGCCCCAGCAAGGCCATCTGGTGACTTTGTCCGGTCTCAAGTCTCCTGGGGGCAAGTTCCATTAGGTTCTAAAGTCATGGAGATATTTACAGAGACAAGTCAGTGTCTTGCTCAGAAAAGCAGAGAACCGAATAAGCATGGTGGCTCATGCCTGTCATCCCAGCACTTTGGGAGGCAGAGGCGAGAGGATTGCCTAAGTCCACGTGTTCAAGGCCTGCCTGGGCAACATGGCAGACCTGTCTCTACAATAAATCAAAAAATTAGCCGGACATGGTGCACATGCCTGTAGTTCTAGCTACTTGGAAGACTGAGGTGGAAAATCGCCTGAGCCCAACAAGTCAAGGCTGTGGTGGCCGTGAGCGTGCCCCTGCACTCCAGTCTGGGCAACAGAGTGAGACTCCAACTCAAAAAAAAAAAGAAAAATTAAGTAAATAAATAAATTTTTAAAAAATTAAAAAAAGAAAAAGAAAAGAAAAGCAGTCGTATGTGAGCTGCTGGCGAGGTGGGGAGAGGGAAGTGGCTGAGGTTGCTGACGGGGAGGTGAGGCAATTTGGAGCCCTATGGATCCTTCTGGTTGGATGAGGTTGTCAGAGCCTCCCGGGCAAGTGGAGCCAAGTGCATGGCTGGTCCTAAAGAAAGGCACGCCTGCCCTCTAGTGGCAGTGCTAGGAGTGGCTTGAGCAGTGAACTGGCCACTGGTCACAGCCAGGACGCTCCTGCATGCCGTAGCTGGGAGTGGGCTGAGCGGCTTTGTGAGGTGACCCAGGGGTCATCCAGACACTTGGGCAACCTGTGGCCCCTTTGAAAACAGCCTGGTGGGCATCTCGGGAGTGTCTCCCAGTCACATGGGCCCTGAGTGGCCTCATGAGTCACCTGTGTTTGCCCTGGGGGAGGGGGCGGGGTGGGTGCCTTTGGTCTGTGTAAATCCAGGTCACGGTTTTTGGTAAACACGGGGAGGGATGGGGCTCTCCTGTGTCTGGCCGCTTTGCCGTCAGTTCCATCATCCTCGGCACCCAGAGGCACGTTTTGGGGTGGCTGACTCTGGTCCCCCAGTACTGATTTGATTGATTATAAGCCTCAGCTTGTTCTGCCCCTTTGCCAGTCACAAAGCAATCTTACCAGGACTTTTTGCTTTACTCTCATACACCCTATGAAGTAGACAGGGTGCAAACTATTAACGATTTTGGGAGTCAGAAGAAAACAAGCCCCAGGTTTTGAGTAACTTAAAGACCACCCTGCTGGTGAATCACACAGCGAGGGCTTGAGCTAGGGGTGCTTGCTCCTTGCTCTGTCCCTAAGAAAATTGAACATAGCTCTCCCGACTCCAAATCCTGACTGCATTTCATGCTGAATTCAATCATCTCAGCAATCCCTGAGCACGTATGCAGCTTTCTTTATTGTTACTCAATTGTTATTCATCAGAAGATTGCCCTCTATTGAAGTGTGTAATCCTAAAATACATTATAATTTTCCTGCTTTAACAATTCCTGGCCTGACTCAGTGGCTCAGACCTTTGATCCCAGCACTTTGGGAAGCCGAGGCAGGAGGATCACTTGAGCCCAGGAGTTTGAGACCAGCCTGGACAGCAAAATCTCATCTCTACAAAAACTACAAATATTACAGGTGCACACCTGTAGTTCCAGCTACCTGGAAGGCTGAGGTGGAAGGATCGCCTGAGCCCAGCAAGTCGAGGCTACGGTGGCTGTGACATGCCACTGCACTTCAGCCTGGGCAACAGAGTGAGATCCTGACTCAAAAAAAAAAAAAGAAAAAGAAAATATTCCTCAAAAAAAAAAATTTTTTTTTTTTTTGAGTCAGAATCTGTCATCCAGGCTGGAGTGCAGTGGCATGCTCATGGCCACCACAACCTTGACCTGCTGGGCTTAGGCAATCCTTCCACCTCAGCCTTCCAGGTAGCTGGAACTACAGTTGTGCACCACCACACCCAGCAAGTTTTTTAATTTATTGTAGAGACCAGGTCTCACCATGTTGCCGAGGCTGGTCTCAAACTCCTGGGCTCAGACAATCCTCTTGCCGCAGCCTCCCAAAGTGCTGGAATTACAGACTCACGTCTGGCCACAGTGCTCAACCAAAGAATTAAACATCAAATTATCATACAATTTGCAGTTTACCTGCTGGGCATATACCCAAAAGGACTGAAGGCAGGGATTTTGACAGATGTTTGTCCACCCGTGTTCACAGCTTCATTGTTTTCGATAGACAGAGGGTGAAAGCAATCCTTGTCCATCAGCAGATGGCTGGGCAAACACAGTGTGACCTAGACCTGCAGTGGGATACTATTCAGCCTTGAAAAGGACATTCTGACACGTGCTACGACATAGAGGAGCCTGGAGGATGTTGTGCTGAGTGGAATAAGCCAGTCACAAAAGGTCCAGCAGCGTAGGCGTCCACGCACAGGCGCTCCCTGGAGCAGTCAGATTCACAGGGACAGAGAGCAGAATGGTGGGCACTGGGGGAAGGGGAGAGTAGGATGCAATGGGGCAGAGCTGGCGTTTGGAAGATAAAAACATCCTGTGGATGGGTGGTGGCCATGGTGGCACCACAGTGTGAATGCACTTAATGCCACTGAACTGCACACTCCAAAAGGGGTAAGATGGCCGGTTTTACGTTCTGCACATTGTACCAAACAGAAAACTTCTCCCGCCTTAAAAATTATCTCCCTTACAATCTGTCTATCATGTGCCTGACAAGAGCTCTGGTTCACAGTGGGGCCGGCCCATGGGAGGGCCTGCCGCGGTACCTGTGGGTGGGTTTGGCCTCAGGAAATGGCTGTCTTGCTGAAGACACAATGTCACCCTGCTGGGCCCTACCTGCCAGGCTTAGGTGCCCACTGTAGAAACATGCTACAGATCCAAATGTCCTCAGTGAAGCACTTGTCTGTGTTCTGTCTCCCCAGGTCCTGAAGCGTCAGGGCTATGATGCGGCGTGTGATGTCTGGAGCTTGGGCATACTGCTGTACACCATGTTGGCAGGGTAAGGATGACTGCCAGGTGTCAGTCGCCAACACATTCTTGCAAAGATGCAGGAGGCAGAAGCCTCTGTGTCTGGTCCCTTGTGGGTCATGCTGCTAGGGTCATGCAGCTAGGGTCATGCTGCTCTGGTTTTGTGCAGACACCACGCATGTGCACACGGGCTGTGAATGAAGGTGGTCAGACTTCCTAAGTCCTCCAGGACCGCTGAACAAGGACAAGAAATTCAGCCATGCGTGTTCTTCCAACTCGGCTCATAAACAACACAACCAAGCCTTTGCCTGCACGGTCTGCGTTCTCTCCCTGAATTGTGCCACTGTCTTAAAAGGCAGACCCATCGGTGCCTCAGAACATCCTCTTCAGCCAAGAAGCTTCTGTAGAAGCTTCTGGGTCAAGCAGCCTCTGTGGCGATGCCTGCCAGGCAGTGGCTGTGGACCTGGGTTTCATGGCTGTGAGTTGTACATGCCCAGTTCTTTGTGACCAGACATGTGGTGTTACAGAAAGAGGCGTGGGCCTGCCATCTGGACTCCTAGCATCCACCCGAGCCCTATCCTTCACTAGCCCTTGCATCTGGACCTCATTTCTGCCCCTCTGAGAGGCACAGGACTCCCAGGGCTCCTTCTTAGTGGTGGGGGGGACTAGGATCCCACGAGCTCCACTGGTCCTAACATTCTGAAGTTTATAAAATACTTGAATGGAGGCAAAAAGAAAAGGACCCTCGACCACCCACCCTGCTTGCCATAGTGAGCCAGCAGAAGCCCTCTTGGGAACGGATGGAAGTGGCCCATTGTGCGGGTGTTTCACGGTTACTTAGCAGGTGGTATCCAACACCAGGGCACCCCGGGAGCGGGGCTGTGCTCTGAGGATGGCACTTAGCAAGGGAGACACTGCCAGTGTTGCTGACACCACACTGTTAGATTGTTTTTGGTTCTTCTGATACTCACTTTGCCTGTACGTAAAACTGGGATCGCAGACTTAGCTACTAAAGGAAGTGCCATTAAAATCACATTCCTTTTCTTGGAAAGCATGTGCTGGTGTACGTTGGTGTGTGTGAAGGGGTGATGGAATGGTCATCTGTCACACACTTAGAGTATGGCCACAATGGAATCAGGCATTTGGTGTATGTTCACCACACACTGTGCACGTGCAGTGGTGGTTCAGAACATCAATTTGTCAAAGAGCCCAGAGCTGGTCATAGATCAACCATGGGTCTCCCAGACTTCAATCTCAGGCTCTCTTGTGTGATGCCACACTGTCACCATAGAAACCGAGTCACTAGGCAAGCCAGTGTGACCAGAAAGGATCCAGGAGAGTCAACCCCAGGGTCCACAGGGCCCTTTTCACCTGTCTCATGGACCTCTGGCGTTGACCAAGGAAGGAGAACGGCTGTAGCATTGGGACATAAATTCTGCTTCACCATGATCCCAGATTCAGGGCATCACAGGGAAAACAAAAAAGCTATTATTTTCAACAAAAAGGATACAATATCCATTTGTAAACTCCATTTTAGATGGCAAAGTGAAGCTCACCAGCACAAACCCTCTCTCATACAGATTCACCCCCTTTGCGAATGGCCCGGATGATACCCCCGAGGAGATCTTGGCAAGGATTGGCAGTGGGAAGTATGCCCTCTCCGGGGGAAACTGGGACTCCATCTCAGATGCAGCGAAAGTGAGTCCATTCCCTGTATTCCTGTTCTTAAATACTGAGACTCTGCAAGACCCGTGTCATTCTGAGGAAGCCAGGGACACCTTTTTTTTTTTGAGTTGGAGTCTCACTCTGTCACCCAGACTGGAGTGCAGTGGCCGCAGCCTTGACCTGCTGGGTTCCGGCGATCCTTCCGTCTCAGTCTTCTAAGTAGCTAGAACTACAGGTGCGTGCAACCACGCCCAGCTAATTTTTGATTTATTGTAGAAACGGGGTCTCACCAAGTTGCCCAGGTGGGTCTCGAACCCACGGGCTCAGGCAATCCACTCACTTCGGCCTCCCAA